AATTGTACCAATTTTTGACACAAATTTGTACTTTTTGGAGGAGATATCAATAGAAAAAATACTTCTCATAAAATTCTACTATGAGTCATCGAACAAAAGAAATCCGTAGCTACCCTGTATATTAATTAAAAATCGATTTCAAAATAAGTAAACCGCAACTCACAAAACACAATTTTAGCGATGTGGTGTCAATGAAAAATTTATAAAAAAATCGATTTAGAAAAAATTGGCTAATTTTTAAAAAAAAGTTTTAAAATATATTGAAATTTTTGGGGTATTTTTTGAAATGATACAATTTCTCACACAAATACTTTTTTAATATTGAGCACATTCCACTATAGGATTTTGCACAAAATATTTTAATAGGGCGATTTTTGCTCTAAACATTATTTTGCATATGGACAAAATGTTCTCCACAAAATTTTACTATGGGTCATCTTGTAGAAAAATTTCATAGCTATAACATTTATTAATAAAAAATCCGATTAAAATAGGATATATCGAAAATAACCATTTTTGGGCAATTTTTTTGTGCTCTTTTGAAAAAGTGCAAATTTTTAACACAAGTCAGTACTTTTTGGAGGAGATGTTAATGGAAAAAATATTCGCTATACAATTCCACTATAGGTCACCAAACAAAAGAAATCCTTAACTACCCTCTAGATTAATTAAAAATCGATTTCAAATTGATTATATAGAGTGATATATGGGATTTGGAGTATTTTTTGGTACTTTATTGAAATTGAGCCAATTTCAACCTCAAAACATTATTTTAGCTTCTTAATGTAAATGGACAAAATGTTCTCCACAAAATTTCACTATGGGTCACCCTGCAATAGAAAGTTATAGCTATGATATTTACTGATAAAATTTGGCTAACAAAGTTGACTATATAAAATAATGTGAATTTTAGGCCTTTTTTTAGGTTATGTCGAATTTGTGGCAATTTCACTCATTTCACTGCATTTTTGGAGGGCAGTGCCAATGGAGAAAATATTCTCCACAAAATTTCACTATAAGTCACCATGCATGAGAAATTTGTAGTTATAATAGATTCTAATAATATTGGGGTCGAAAATTGGTCTATATAAAATAATGAATATTTTGGGTAATTTTTGTGAGTTTTTTCGATTTTCCGGCAATTTCACCCAGAATACTGCCATTTAGGAGGTTATTACCAATGGAGAAAATAATCTTCAGAAAATTTCACTAGAGGCCACCCTGCAACAGAAATCTGTAGCTATACAATGTGTTCATTAAAATCGTTAATAATTCCGGGGCTATAAGACAAGCTGTATTTTCCCCCTCAATTTTGGTATATTTTAAAAATTGATCCAAATTTTCACTACAAAAATTCACTTTAGGGGAGAGATGTCAATAAAATAAATATTCCTTGGAAAATTTCACTATGAGTCACCCTGCAATAGATCTCGGTACATATAATTTTTACTTATAATATTTGGGTTACAAAGTTAACATTATAAAGTAATGGGTATTTTGGGCCATTTTTTGGGGTTATTTCGAATTTCCGGCAATATCGCCAACATTACGGCATTTTAGGGATGTAGTACCAATATAGAAATTATTCTCCATAAAATTTCACTATGTGTCACCCTGCAATAGAAATCTGTAACTATGATATTTACTGATAAAAGTTGGCCATCAATGTTGACCCATTATGTTATGGGTCCAAAGACTTTTTTGAGGTTATTTTGAATATGTGGCAATTTCACCCACTCCACTAAATTTTAGGGGGGTAGTACCAATGGAAAACATGTTCTCCATAAAATTTCACAATAAGTCACCCTGCAGAGGAAATCTGTAACTATAATAAATATTTATAGTATTGGGGTCAAAAATTGAGGAATACATACAAATTGGTGTTTTTTGTATTTTTGGTAAATTTTTTCCACCATAAATCCAGAAATTTTCCTGTCCTACCTCCATGGACCTTCGACCATATTTCCCCCCAAAAATTCCATACATAACTAAAATCCATTATATTATTAAAATTTTATTTATTCCTTATTTACATCGCCATATTCCATTGCATAGCCGACAAAGAAAATCCATTAACACGATCCGGCATGCATAACACGGAAGGTAGGCACTGCTTCACGTCTCAATGTTTTCGCCTTACATCTCAAATTATTGAAATGACAGCGGGAGGGTACTGTTTTCAATTTACCATCAACGCTAATACACATTGGACGATAGATCCGAGAGCACATACGCTCCTGACACTGCGGAGTGGATTCCGTTACATCAACCAATTCCTCATCTTGCCAAAGGCTATAGGCTTTAATGGGACACATAAGGGCCACTAAGACAGCGAACACAACTAGGATTTTGAACATTTTTGGTGAGATTATTTTTGAAATTATTTTGAAAATTTTATAATTGGTTTTCAATTAAAGTTTTTGAATGGGACTGATGCTTTCCGATACGATGCTCAGCATTTATATAGTTTTTTTGGTACACAACGAGCTGGAAAAAACACTTGTGCCAACACATACCGAAAGTCTGGCGGGATTAGAAAATAAATTTTTAACAAATAGAGGTCATATTCTGGTTCGGAATACTTTGGTAAGATTTTTTTCAATTGTTTATTTCGTTTTTTTTTTATTGAAATATTCAATATTTATTTACAGTTAGTTTCAAAACTAATTTCGTCATGGAAAGACAAAATGTGGGTCATTGTCACCGTTAGTTTCTTTCAAGGTCAATCAATTTTAATAAACATAAATTGGAGGTTATGTTTTTTATTAGATGGCTCTTTGGTGTTTGCGAAGTAGCAGTGAGTCGGCACGATTCCTAGTAAGAGCCTAATTTGAAGAGAAATTTGTCAAAAATCTTGAAAACCCCTCAATTTCTTGAGGGTCCGTATATGGGGACCCGAAGGAAGAATTGGACCAATGTGGTTTATATTTGGCATGGAGGTATTTTGGTATTTCACGGTAAGCTATTTGTAAATTTTCAGCAAAATTGTTCGGAAAATGTTGACCAAAATCTTTAAAATTCATAAAATCGGGAGGAACTTCGTATGGGGCCTATGATACAAAGTGGGCCAATGTTTTCCAATTTTTACAAAAAGGTTGCTTAGCCCCATAGTAGGCAAATTACCAAATTACAGCAAAATCGATTGCACCTTTCCGGTAGAAAATCATGAAAATTCGCTAAATTTGAAGGTACCCCCAATGAGATCTATGGTCAAAAATGCACCAATTTCGAAAATTTTCTGCAAGGAGGTTGCCTATCCCCAGAGTATACAATGTGCCAAATTACAGAAAAATCTAAAGAACATTTCTGACCAAAATGTGTGGGCGCTATACCAAAATATGGACCAATGTGGAGAATTTTTGCATGAAGGTTTCTTACCCTCCAAGTATTTAATGTACCAAAATACAGCGGAATCGATAAACAATTTCTTCCAAATAACCCCAAAATTCTTGAAATTCGACGTCACCCTGTGTGGGAACTATATCAGAAAGTCGACCAATGTTTAACATTTTTTGCTTGGAGGTATCATAACCTCCGACTAAGCAAATTGCAAAATTTCAGCAAAATCGATTGATATTTTCTGGTAAAAATTCTTTAAATTTGGAGGTACCCCAAAGGGACCATGCTCAGATGTGAACCAATTCTGACAATTTCTTACATGAAGCTTGCCTATGTCCTAAGTATCCACTGTGCCTAGTTACAGCAGAGTCGATAAACATTTTCTGGTAAAAATCTTGAAAAATCTTGAAATCCAGCGGAACTTTGTGTGGGAGTTATACCAAATAATGGACCAATGTTTTCCAATTTTTGCATGAAGGTTTCATAACCTCCAACTAGCCAAAGTGCCAAATTACAGCAAAATCGATTGGCATTTTCTAATAAGAATCATAAAAATTCCTAAAATTTTGATGTACCCCCAAAGGGACCTATGGACAAAAGTGGACCAATTCTGATAATTTTTTGCATGAAGGTTTCCTATCACCTGAATATCCACTGTGTCTAGTTACAATAAAATCGATAAACATTTTCGGGCCTAAACCCTAAAAATTCTTGAAATCCAGCTGAACTTCGTGTGGGAGCTATAGCAAAAAGTGGATCAATGTTCACAATTTTTGGCATGGAGGTTATCTACCATCTGTGTATACTACGTGCTAACTTATAACGAAATTGATAGAAAATCTCTGGGCAAAATCACGAAAATTCGGAAAATCCAACATTATCTTGTGTGGGAGCTATACAAAATAATGGGCCAATGTTCGACATTTTTTGCATGGAAGTTACTTATCTTCTAAGTATACAATGTGACAAATTACAACAAATTTTATTAAAAAATCTGACCGAAATCACGAAAATTCGAAAAATCTGACCTAATCTTCTGTGGAAGCTATACCCAAAAGTGTTTCAATTATTATCATTTTTAACATGAAGGATTCATATTCACCGAGAGTCCATTGTGCCCGATTTGAGCAAAATTGATTGAAAATCTCTGACCAAAATCATGAAAATTAGAAAAATCCGACATTATCTTGTGTGGGAACTATACCCAAAAGTTAGCCAATTTTTATAATTTTTTGCATGGAGGTTACTTACCCCCAGAGTACTCAATTTACGGAATTTGAGCTTAATTGTTTGAAAATCTCTGAACAAAATCATCCAATTTGATTAAATTCAGTAGAACCCTGTGTAGGAGCCATAGCCAAAAGTGTTTCAATTTTTTATAATTTTTTGCATGAAGGTTTCTTACACCCTGAGGGTCCATTGAGCCAAGTTTGAGCAAAATCGTTTGAAAAATTCGGTGCAAAATCATCAAAATCGATAAAATTCGATGGAATTGGCCAAAAGTCGACCTAAGTCATTATTTTTTTATTATTTATTTGTAGTTATCTAAAAATAGGTTTTTTTTTCTATCTTAATGTAAATATTTTTTATAAAAATACAATTTAAAAAAATTAATACACCTTTAAAAAATATTTTTTTTAATATTTAAAAAAAATCCCATTCTACAAATCATCCATATAACCCATTTCCGAGGCATGACGCATGGCAGCCAATATCTGCAAATTCACCTCGTCCCCACCCGCCTCTATGCTAAGTTTACGAAAACGTTCCCCGGTAAAATCGTTGGAAAATAATTCCGATAATTCGGAACATTCCTCCTCGCTGCATAGCATCCATGGCAGGAAATGCGTACAAATCAGCACACCATAAAATGCATAACGGGCAAAATGGGTTTGGAATTTTTCAAAACTATACCAACTCAAAATTGTTTCAATTTCCTGGGGACTTTTGCTGGAAGCTTCTAGAATCATTTTCAGTGTGCCATACATGTGTGAGTGATAGGTGCTTAACATTTCAGGCCACAATTCGTAGCGGCCCTCCGCCGATGAATTGAAATACATAAAGAAACTTAAATCCAATACGGGAGAACCATAACGTACCTCCTGGAAAAGGAAAATATTTTATTTTAATTTTGAATTTAAATTTGGTATCTAAAACCTCACTTGAAAATCAATCATTTTAACATCCTCCACCTTGTCCCCCTCCCCTTCCTTTTGGTATTTAAACAACACATTATTACGATTATAATCCCCATGTAAGATGGCTGCAAATCGCCTATCCTCCTCCGTCTCTTCCACTTGTACCCTTAATTTTTCCAATAATTTTGTGGGCTCGGCATAATATTTCTCCCTTAGCTTGCGCAGATTTTCAATTAATTTCAAATCCTTTGGAGATTTTTTATCAAAGGTATTTGTGTCGATAACACGATCGAAGTAATCATAAAAACGATCAAAAGCCAAACGATAAATGATCGTATACAAATGACCCTTGGCTTCTTCGGGGCTGTGGGCCACAAAAGGTAAAACATTTAGACCTGATTTTAATCGCTCCAAAAGGTCATTGTTTAAGGCCCTAAGGGCATAGGAAAAGGCATGATGTTTGGCCACCGGTTTACACATGGCCAGCAAATGTTCACGATCCAATATGAGACGGGGACCCATAACGTAGCCGCATGGCTTTAGGTTTTCCAAAACCAAGGCGGCTTCTCGCGACTGCCGGGAGGAACTGAGACCTAAAAACATGATCGATTTTGTTATATTTTCTATTTTATATATCATATAAAAACCTTCAATATACCCAAATGCCGCCTTATAACAATTCGGCACCAATTCACTTATCTTCAGCGAAGTGATTTTCAATTCATTCAACAGCTTTTCATATTGTGGCAGAACATCGGAATAGATAAAAATCTCATTGGCAAATTGTACATACGATTTACTGGACTCTCGAAACTCAACATCACCTCTCATAAATTTTGCTATCAGCAAACGTTCCACTTCACTGCAAAAGAAAAAAATTCGATTTAAAAATTATAGATTTTTTTCAAATATCAGACCCTTTTACCCTTTATTTGTTTTGGTTTTCAATTGTATATTATATAGGGCCGACATGAAACCATCCAAGCCACTGGAATGTTCAATTGAGTAGGATATCAATTCCTCATTATTTAATTTTTCGATTATTTCTGGTATTAAATAGTTATCAATATACGATTTATGGGCCTCCAGGGACATTGTGATATCAGTAAATGGGGACTGAAAAAGGAAAAAAGATTCAATTATTAAACAAAATAAATAGAATTAAAAAACAATTCAAATTCAAGCTTTTGAATTTTTTTCCTTGAAGAAACCACGCCTCGGAATTATTTTTCTTTAAAAATCCAAGCTTCGAAATTATTTTTCTTTAAAAATTCACACTTCGGAATTAGTTTGCTTTAAAAATTCACGCTTCGGAACTATTATTCCACCATTCGGAATTATTTTTGTTTAAAAATCCCCGCTTCGGAATTAATTCTGTTTAAAAATCCACACTTCGGAATTATTTTTCTTTAAAAATCCACACTTCTGAATTATTTCTCTTTAAAAATCGACGCTTCGGCATAATAATTCTTTAAAAATTCACGTTTCAGAATCATTTTCCACGATTCGGAACTATTTTTCCATCAAAATCCTCACTTCGTAATTATTTTTCTTTAAAAATCCACGATTCGGATTTATTTTTCCATCAAAATCCTCACTTCGGAATTATTTTTCTTTTAAAAATCCACGATTCGGATTTATTTTTCTTTAAAAATCCACGCTTCGAAATTATTTTTCTTTAAAAATCCACGCTTCGGAATTAGTTTTCTTTAAAAATCCATGATCAGGAATTATTTTTCTTAAAAAATCCACGCTTCGGAATTAGTTTTCCGTCAAAATGCTCACTTCGGAATTTTATCCTTTAAAAATTTACGCTTCGGAGTTATTTTTCTTCAAAAATGCAAGCTTCGGAATTATTTTTCTTCAAAAATTGACGCTTCGGAATTATTTTTTTTTTTAATCTACGTTTCGGAATCATTTTTTTTCAATCCATGTTTCGTAATTATTTTTTTAATTTTTTTTTTAATTGCATATCGACAACCCTAGCAACTGATTTATAACGTCATGTCCCAGCATGAATTACACCAATTAACAATGAAGAGAGATAAAATTTCCATCTGAAAATATTCTTGAAAAATTATACCCCGGTACTTCAGAAATTGTTCCTAAAAAAATAAGATTTATTAAATAACTGATAATTTTTTTGAAAATACTTTTAACATATCCTTTATCTCGCAATAACGTTACCCGTTTTGATATCTACATCCCTAATTGATCACCTCTGGATATTTACACGTCATGTCTAGATTTGCATTACAACAACTTCATTAATTTCATTATCTTTGAAGGGTCTTTCATCTCTTCGTTTGATATCTCTCCTTTTTAAAATTCACATCCTCAGTTTCCCAGTTAATACCTTGCTAAAAAATATACACCAATCTGTGCCGTATTTTAATTAAAACTGAAATTAAATTGGCTAAATTAATTGAATGTCGACTCCCACTCTCTCTTCTCTTGGCCTTATCAGCTGTTATCGGCAATAATAACAAAACAAATACAACGGTATTGCCATATTCTAGCATAGATGTCAAATAGTATGTTTCACTAGATACGAAAAACGACTTGGCGGGAAATCAGGAATGAAAGGAAAATGAAATAACTGACAAGGAAGTAAACAAAACAAATACAAAGGTATTGACATATAGGGTACACTAGGTAGGAAAAGGATTAAACGGTAAAAGAGCAGTAAATTGTTTTCTTTTTTAAGAAATATGAATAAATATATAACGGATTTTTAAAAATATTATTTAAAAAAAAATTATAACTACTTTCTATTATAAATAAAGAAAATTGAACCAAAGCTATGGAATTTCCTTATTCTACAGTATATGCGACATAATAGGGAACAGTAGGTACGAAAAGTGCCAAGGCGGGAAATACGTTATAAAACGGAGGTATTTAATAAAAATTGAGGATTAAAATTAATAAAAAAATTTGAATATTTTCTTAAGAGAAATATTTCCGAAGAATAAATTTTGTAAAAAAAAATAATTCTGATTTCTAAAGAAGAAAAAAAATTCCGAAGCGGGGAATTTTAAAGAAAATGAATTCCATAGCGTGGATTTTTAAAAGAAAAATAATTTCAAAATGTGGATTTTTAAAGAAAATGAATTCCAAAGCGTGGATTTTTAAAGAAAAATAATTCCAAGCCTGAATTTTTAAAGAAAATGAGTTCGAAAGCGTGGATTTTTAAAGAAAAAATCCTAAGCGTGGGTTTTTAAAGAAAAATAATTCCAAGCCTGAATTTTTAAAGAAAATGAGTTCGAAAGCGTGGATTTTTAAAGAAAAAATCCTAAGCGTGGGTTTTTAAAGAAAAATAATTTCTAATGCGTGGATTTAAGGAAAAATAATTTCTAATGCGTGGATTTAAGGAAAAATAATTTGGAAACGTGGAATTTTAAAGGAAAAGAATTCCAAAGCGTGAATTAAAAAAAAATTTTGACGTCTGAGTTTTTTAAGAAAAATAATACTGAAGCGTGGAATTTCAAAAGTAAAAGAATTCCGAAGCGTGGATTTTTAAAGAAAAAGAATTCCAAAGGGTAGTTTTTTAGAGAAAAATAATTTCGAAATTTAGATTTTTATAGAAAAGGGATTCCGAAGTGTGGAATTTTAAAGAAAAGGGATTCCGAAGTGTGGAATTTTAAAGAAAAGGAATTCCGAAGCTTCGAATGTTTTATTTTGGATTTTAAAAGAAAAAGATTTCGAGGCATAGATTTTTTAAGAAAAATTTTCGAAGCATGGATTTTTAAAGAAAGCAAAATCTGAAGCATCGATACAAAATCCCAAGCGCGCATTATTACAGAACCAAACCTATGGTTCGAATGCATTGATTTCAATAGATTTGGTTCGATCAGCTGATTGGTATTGCTTTAAGGGCTAAGCAGAATGTTCATGTTGAGCCATCCGTCGCGTGAAGTTGATGTGCGTTGCACATCGGAGTTAAATATTCTGTTTAGCCCTTGATAGTTATTTTAATCAATTTTAATCTAATTTCCAGGCAACTGCGTTTAAAAAGTTCCATTTCCATACTTTTTATTAGGTTCACAACATTAATTTAAATACTTCAGAGACCACGAATACCTCACAAAACATATACTTAATTTTAAATATCAAGCGTATGGCTAAAAAAATTTCTGGTTATAAAGAAGATTTTGTAACTGAAGGCGTGTCCTCCTCCAGCTAATCCACTTTTTATTAAAATAGAAGGTATATGACCATACACCATATATAGACACCGTCTAACAATCTATGAATCCTTTGGATTGCTGTTGTATAAAAACGAGATCTTATAACCAATTTTCACTCAAATTTGTATTCGATGATAAACTATTTTTTGTTTAGTTCGGTAGATAAAACACGTGGAATGTTAAGCGAAAGCTTAATACAGCGCCATTTGGTATTTTTTTTAAGCCCGTAGGCGTAATTAACTCTTTAAAATGTGTCTTTCCTGTGAGCCGTCCGAAGACGAAATGATGAAGGAGATTTAAAAAATATTATTTTTAATTATCATTGTGAAAAAAAAAACTATATCAAAATATAGGATTTAATCTATTGACTGTTGACAAGTCAAAAATCGATTTATAGCTACCTATTTTTGTATTTTGCTTCATTTCTGGCTCTTTTTTACTTTAATATAAATCATAATAATTTATTTACTATTAATAACAATTATTTATTCAATTTAAATAATATTTTTTATTTAACAATAATAAAAAATAATTTTAATTACGATTTATGGACAAAACACCGATTATTCATCAATAAAAACGAAACTAGTATGCACTAGTTCACGTTCAGTTTCCGTTAGTGAACAGTAACGGATTGAACACTAAACCACACAAAGGAGAAACATTTGCCAAAAATAACATAAAACCACGCCTATTGGTTTCTAAATAAGAAAAATGTTATAAATTTATAAAAAAAAATTATATAATTATATGTTTATTTACATGGATTAATCAATGTAAATTGCGTTAATCATAAATCGTTTCATGTTTGTAGTTTGTGTGAAGAATACAAACGGCACTAGTTCACGTTCAGTTCCCATTAGTGAACAGTAACGGATTGAACACTAAACAAAGCACAAAGGAGAAGCATTTGCCGCGAATAAAACAAAAAGCCTTTTTATTGGCATATAAATAAGAAAAACAATCTAAATATATAAAGAAATAATTATATTTATTTGGAACGGATAATTAATGTACATCGCGTTAACAAAAATCTTTTCCTGTTTGTCGTTTGTGGGAAGAATCCAATCAGCTGTTTTGTTGTTATTCTTTTATATCTCTCTTTCTAAACAATAGAATGCTGCCTATCGTCGTTATGCCTCCTCCTCATTCGTAAACAATATGTGTGGTTCTGCGCCATATTACTTGAAGTTCATTTTTATCATACATTCTCTCCTATCTCCGTCTATCCGTTGCACGTTTGGAACGTTTCTAAATTCGTTGGGGTTATTCAGTATAATTCCAACGAATTGGACCAATAGCGAGAGACACAGAGAGAAAGAAATCCGCAGATATCGAGAATTAAACAATAGAATTTTTTTCTTTGTTAAATAATTAAAAAAAATCAAAAAACAACAACAAAAACTATACGGAAACGGAATTGCGAAAAGTCGGATTTTCTTCTGCTCTTGGAGGTGGTGGTTTGCCTCTTAAATGGCCAAAGAATGGATGAATTGTCTGAACTGGAAGCATGTCGTATTTGTGTAAAATGTTATCGTATGGCCGAAATGGATTTCATCTCCCTATTCCATGATAATGAGGAGTTTCAAACGGAGCTGGACTTTATAAGGGGTGAAATATGTCAATGGAAGTTGAAGATAGAACCTGAAGATGGTTTGCCACAGCGTATCTGTGCCGATTGTTTTGCGAAATTTTGCAGCATTGATGCTTTTCGCAAGGAGTGTGAAATGGCCCAGCAGAAGTTATTGCAATCGATACTCAATGCTGATAAGGCGGAAGAGAATCGACAACAACAACAATCTTTGTTAGGATCCTCATCATCCGCGATAATGGGAGGAAATGATGTGGCGTTAAATGATTATCAGGTGTTTGAACCGCAATTTGATAATTTCGTAAATTCCCCCACCCCATCAACACCACCACCACCACCTCTGATGATGGACAGTTCGGCCACTTTGTTGGCCAGCAATTTGATAACACGGGAACCCGACAATGATATGGACTTCCTAACATCCGCATCACCAACATCACAGAATCTCTTTAGTTTTGAAACAGCCGAGCCACCCACAACGGGAACACTGCCATTAGAGACTGAGACTGAAACTGCTACTCCTATTTTGGATGAACTTATGGAGGGTAATGGTGTGGGTGTAGGCGGTGCAGGAGGCAAACATGATCTCGAAGATATATTACGCAGCAGTATCATACCGACAACCACCTCTCAACAACAAAAATGTGCTAAATTACTAATGGTAACAACAAGGACCAGCACCACCAACACAGCTACAACAGCAACAACAACAAAAAATAACAAAAATGTACTGAATATTGTTACAAATACAACAAAGACTGATAGGAGAAGAATGGGCGAATTGGGAGGCAACCGAAAACCCTTACCACCACCCCCAACAATTTCCCAGATGATCACCAGCAGCAGCAGTGAAGATGTTGCCAACACCTCGGACAATGAATGCGACGATGCCAATGTCAATAAACGCCTCAAAGGCTTGCCATATACCTGTCATTATTGCTACTGTCCCGACATTGGACCCATCGATCATTTAAGCTTCCCCAACGAAGATGCCCTATCGCAACATTTCTTTGACATCCACGATCCAAATCGCCCCTACACCTGTCCCCATTGCAGTAATTCGTATAAAACCCAAAAGTTACGCGACAATCATATCCGATTGAATCACGAACTGAATAAATCGAAATGTAATTTTTGCCATAAAAATTTACGCGGCGCAGCGGATATTCATCAATTCCATTGCCAGCATGTTGGAGATTGGGAATGTGATCAGTGTAAGGAGAAATTTTTAAATGTACCGTTGCATCGTTTTCGTTTACACCAAAGACAACATGATCGCGGAAGGCATTTGAAATGTTCGGTATGTCATAGGACATTTATGCGCAAGGCGAATTTGGAGGCGCATGAGAAAATGCATCGGAATCAGGTGAAGACCCAGTGGCATTGCAGTCCGTGTAAGACAAGTAAGTGAGGGATGATCTTTCATTAAATTTTTTATAGAGTAAGGAAAATCCAAAATAGAGTGGAGATCTGCAGGGCATGTCCCCTTAGGCCCTCTACGATCGAGTAGAAGTCTTCCTTGGAGGTCTAGAATAGAGTAAATGTGATCTCGAGACCCAACTACAATTGAGTAGATATGGTTCCGTGATGTCTATGACAGAGTACACTTCTCTAGAGACATTCAGGGTTGCGTAGATGTTCGCCAGAGGCGTCTACAATAGAGTAGATGATCCTGAAGGTCATATACAATTAAATATATGTTCTTCAGAGACGTTTTGGGTATAGTAGATGTTCTTCGGGGACTTCTACGGTGCAGTAGATGCAATCCAGGGACCTTTAAGATAATGTAGATGCTCGTGAAGGGTGAGTAGATGTGCTTCAGGGATGTCTTCTATATTGTAGATGTCATCGGGGGCCGTCTACGATGTAGTAGATGCGATCCAGGGACCATTAATATAATGTAGATGTTCTCGAAGGTCATCTACGACTGAGTAGATGTTGTCCAGGACGTCTATTGTGTAGTACATGTAGTCCGGGGACATCTACGATGTAGTAGACGTTCTTCTAGGACGTCTACGATGGAGTAGACGTCGTCCTGGGACATCTATAGTAGATACGATCCAGGGACCTTTAAGATAATGCAGATGTTCTCGAAGTTCATCTACGAATGAGTAGATGCTGTCTATTGACAGCACTACTACATCTACGATCTAGTAGATGTTTTTCTAGGACATCTACACTAGATCGTATGCCCTTTTAGGACATCTACGATGAAGTTTATGGTTCCGATGGACATCTAGGAACGTCAACGGTATACCAAATGAGCCATAGAGACGTCAACGATATGTATACAGCGGAGTAGATGTTTTCGAGGGACATCTTCTGTGGTGTAGATGTTTTACAGGGACATCTACAGTGACGTAGATGTGATCCAGGAACCTCTAATGGTGAGTAGATGTGATTCAGGAACATCTACTACAGTGTAGGTGGTCTCATAGGTCACCTTCGATTGTGTAGATGTCTTCCTGGAACATCTACTGTGGTGTAGATGTGGTTCAGGAACCTCTAATGTTCGGCAGATGTGATTCAGGAACGTCTACGATAATGTAGATGTTCCCGCAGGTCATCTACGATTAAGTAGATATTTCCCTGGGACATCTACTGTGGAGTAGATGTTGTCTAGAGACATCTACTGTAGAGTAGATGTTGTCCAGGGACATCTAATATTGAGTATATGTGATTCAGGAACCTCTTCGACAGTGTAGGTGTTCTAATAGGTCACCTTTGACTGTGTATATGTCTCCCTGCGACATCTACTGTGGTGTAGATGTTTTCCAGGGACATCTAATGTGTTGTACATGTGATCCAGGAACATCTAATGTTGAGTAGATGTGATTCAGGAACCTCTACGACAGTGTAGGTGTTCTCATAGGTCACCTTCGATTGTGTAGATGTCTCCCTGGAACATCTACTGTGGTGTAAATGTTTCCTAGGGACATCTACAGTGGCCTAGATGTGATCCAGGAAGCTCTACTGCGGAGTAGATGTGATTCAGGAACTTCTAAGACATTGTAGGTGTTCCTTCGATTGAGTAGATGTCATCCTGGGACATCTATTGAAGAGTAGATGTCCCCCGGGAAATCTATTGCAGAGTAGGAACGCTTTCTGTAGGATATATGTCCTTTAGAGACATCTACGATAGATAAAATGTCCTGCAGAACCATACCCGATTGAGTTGGTGTTTTCCCAATGACCTCTACTCTAGAGTAGATGGTCTTCATGGACCTCTACTAGCCTCTAGGCACATCTACGATTGTGTAGACATTGTCTAGGGACGTCTACGGTCGAATAGATCTTCGAAGTTCGGCATTTACAGGGTAATAAATTAATTTATAGACTGTTACAACGGAGTATACATTTTTTTGTTTTCCTCAGGTCTTTCTAGAGAAGTATTGATGCTCTCAGGACCCTAGTCATGTATCTTGAAGAAGCTTACAGTCTTTACTAATCCTTTTTTTTTCTAATTTTCAGATTTCTTAACCAATTACGACCTGAGGCGCCACAATTATCAGCATCACGATGATGAGACCCCGGTCAAATGCAAGGAATGTAATCAGGGTAAGCGAAACTATGGAATATATTTGCAAATGTTTTCAAGTAACCACTTCTTTTTCTCTCCCTCCTACTCTAGGCTTCTCCAGCATTGCCTTTATGCAACGGCATATTGCACAGATTCACAACAACAACAATAACAACAAACCGAAAGTCAGCAACACAACAACGGCGACAACAACTCCACAACCCCCAACAGCAGGTGGAAATATTCACATCTGCCACAAATGTAATGCCTCATTTGCCACACTCGATTCCCTACAATGGCACATGGAGTTAAGTAATAAAAATAATGGACAATGTCTATCGCCGGATATTTTACTCGATAGTAAGGAACGACGTCGTATACAACGTCAGGGAGTATTCCCCTGTTTTGTGTGTCCCAAACGTTTTCATTTACGCTCACAACTTGATAAACACTTGAATACACACGACACCCGGTTGAGACCATTCCAATGTGATCAATGGTAAAACAAAAAGATGGAAATTCTTTTGCTTTCGAATATTACTTTTTTTTGGAAATTTAATGGCTTTCATTTCGTGTTTTCGTCTTTTCCTGTTTCTTTAAATTATTTTTGGTGCCAATAAATTGCAATTTTTGTTTTTGGCGGTTTGAAAAAAATTCACTATTTTTTTGTAATGTAATTTAAAATAGTTTTTTGTGTAGAGCTTTCAAATTTTTTCCTTTAAAGATTGTTTTGTAATATTTGTTTTGTTTTATCTCTCCTCTAGCTATATGCGCTGCCGCACCGCTGTGGAGTTAAAACAGCATGTCGATGTGGCCCATCTGAATATCAAAGCCTTTTCCTGTGACAAATGTGGCAAATGTTTTGGCTATAAAAAGGATCTACGGGATCATATGCTGTTCCATGCGGGTGAGTATGAAGATCTAATGAGAACAAGTAAGAATTTATTTTTAAATTTTAGTTGGAAGATCCCCAAATACACAAAATATCGAAAAATAGGGGTATCTTTATATGGGGCCTAACCCGAAAGTGGGACCAATATTGATAATTTTTGGTAGGAAGATTTTCTACTCAAGTAGTTTCCAAAATACCAAATTACAGCCAATTCGGTTAAAAATCTTAGCCAAAATCTGCAAAATATCGAAAAAATAGGGGTATCGTTATATGGGACCTACCCCCAATTTTGGTTTAATATTTATAACTTTTGGCAGGAAGATTTGCTATCCTTTGAGTACTCAGAATACCAAATTTCAGCCAATTCGGTTGGAAAAATGTCCTCAAAATTTAGAATAATGGGTTTATCGTTATATGGGGACTAACTGAAACTTGAACCGATTTTTATAATTTTTGGCAGGAAGATTTGCTACACAGTGACAAGGCAGAATACCAATTTACAGCCAATTCGGTTGAAAAACGCGACCAAAATCTGCAAAATGCCGAAAAATAGGGGTATCGTTATATGGGATCTACCCCTAATTTTGGAACAATATTGATAATTTTTGGCAGAAAGATTTGCTACCCTTTGAGTACCCATAATACCAAATATCAGCCAATTCGGTGGAAAAATGTCCTCAAAATTTAGAATAATGGTTTTATCGTTATATGGGGGCTATCCTGAAACTTGGACCAATATCGATAATTTTTGGTGGGCATTTTATCTACCCAATGAGAACTCAAAATACCAAATTACAGCCAATTCGGTTGAAAAAACGTACCCAAAATGTCGAATAATGGTTTTATCGTTATATGGGGGCTATACCGAAACCTGGACCAATATTGACAATTTTTGGTATAAAGATATACTACCCAAGGAGTATCCAAAATACCCAATTTCAGCTAAATCGACTGAAGAAAGTCCTCAAAATACCGAATAATGGTTGTATAGTTATATGGGGGCTACCCTGAAACTTGGACCAATATTGATAATTTTTGGTGGGAAGTTTTGCAACCTAAGGGAAATGTAAAATACCAAATTACAGCCAGTTCGATTGAAAAATATCCTCAAAATTCCGAATAATGGTTTTATCGTTATATGGAGGCTAACCCGAAACTTCGACCGATATTGATAATTTTTCTTAGAATAATTTGTTTCGTCATGAGTACCCGATATACCAAATTAAAGCCGATTCCGTTGAAAAACATGATCGAACAGACGAAATATTGGAATTTTTTATATGGGTCCTATCCTGAAACTTGGACCGATATTCATAATATTTTGTGGGGAGATTTTTTGCTCATTATATAGCCAAAATACCAAAATAGCGGCAAATCGATTGACAAAAATCCGCAAAATACGGAATAATGGTTTTATCGTTATATGGGGTCTATTCCACAAGTTGGACCGATATTGATAATTTTTGGCAGTGAGATTCTCGACACAGTTAGACCCCAAAATAAGAAATTACAGCCAATTCTGTTGGAAAAATGTTACCAAAAATCCCGAATAATGATTTTTTCTTATATGGAACCTATCCCGAAACTTGGACCAATATTAATAATTTTTGGCAGGAAGATTTGTTACCTAATGAGTACCCGATATACCAAATTGAAGCCGATTCCGTTGAAAAACATGACAAAAAAACGAATAGTGGCAATTTTTTATATGGGGCCTATCGTGAAACTTCGACCGATATTAATAATTTTTGGCAGGAAGATTTGTTACCTAATGAGTACCCGATATACCAAATTAAAGCCGATTCCGTTGAAAAACATGACCGAAAAAAACGAATAGTGGGAATTTTTTATACCATTTTTTATTTTTTTTAATTTTTATTTTCATAAAATTAGTTTAATTTTCTCTATTCTCTTCCTTTCCTTCCAGAGGTCAATGTCCATTGCACTGAAGAGGGTTGTGATTATGTTTGTAAAAATGAAAAGGCCCTTAACGATCACATACGCCACAAGCATCGCCTGTTGTCGTGTGAATATTGTCGTGAGGAATTTACTCGGCAAAAATTAACGGGTAAATATTATTTCGATTTATTTATTTATTTTTTTTTTTCAAATTATTTTTAAATATTTTTTTATTTTCTAGCACATCTTCGTAATGTCCACAGGGCCGAAATCGACATCGACTTGGCCGGAAATGCTGATAATTTTTATAAATCGAAATTACTCAATAATAATAATGATATTACACAAATCTCGTTTAATTTACTTAATACTCAAAACAATGCCTCATCTACAACAACAACAACATCCACATTATCGTCATCATCAACAACAACAAACACATCAAATGCCATAACAAATATTGAAGTGCTTGGTGGTGATGGTCATGGCTTTCAATCAACATCACCGTCATCATCAAAAATCACAAGAATTTCAGCGGCCAATATAACAACAACCCCATCACCATTATCATCACCCACAACTAATCGTCATGTTTTCCTAACCGATCACAATTCGAATAATTTAACTTTGAATAATTTTATTGCCAATACATCGTCGAATGACTTGAATCTCAGTGTCAATGCCGATGCCTCGAATAGCATGTATGTGGTAACAACGGCCACCGACACGCCCGTGACAGCCTCCTCCATTAACGAAAGCGATACAAATTTGGATCAATATTTTATGGCCTCACTAATGGATACGGAACAGGAGATAACTGTTACCTAAAGACAAACGACTCCATTAAAGGTAACCACACAGAAATCAATTTCTGAAAAAAAAGACAAAAACACACACACACAAATTCTTTGAAACTAAAAGCAAAACAAAATATGAGTAGAAATATTTGAAGTAGTAATGACTGGAGAAAAAAAATCGAAAGACTCTTTTTAACAAGGTCACATATATAGAAGTCAAATTTATTTTCTTAATTCTTAAGACAAAACCGAAAAGTAATTCAAAAACAAAAATCTAAAAACTGCATGCATTAGTATTAGAGATTCAAAACAAAACACAAATCCATAAGAACAGCTGTCTTTAGGGCAAAAGTACAAGACTTACTATTTATAACTAACCACATCTTATATATTTAGAAAGAAAACTCAACAAAAGAAATCTCAAAATCTTCTAAACAAAAAACTAAGATTCTCCAATTTTTCCTAAACAAACTAAAAAGGAAGAAAAAAAAACAAAACAAACAAAAAAGGAAAATCAAAACTAAAAGCAATCCATTTTACTTTATAAAGATAAACAAAACTATATTGAAACTTTGTATACCAACCAAAACATATAACCAAAATATTTGAAAAAAAAAACATTCCTTCAAAAAAAAAAAAAAAAATTCCCCCAAAACAAAAAACATTTCCCCTTTACAAAACAAACAAAAAAAATCCTTACAAATAATTTATAATACAAAAATATTTTCCAACAAAAAACATTTCCCCTTTACAAAACAAAACAACTTATAAAATAATCTATAATACATAAAGTAGGCTTGTATAAGAGTTTTTTTATATTTAAAAAATTTCATATGACTTGTATAAGAGTTTTGTATGATGTATAAGACTTTTCTATGGCTTGTATATGCAGTATAAGAGTTTTTGTGAGCCGTATAAGACATTTATAGACATTTTACGTGTTATACGAGGTTTTTATGGCACATAAAGCATTTCTAAGAGTCTTATATGCAGTATAAGAGTTTTACTTTTCCCTATTATTACAAAATAATCTATAATACACAAATTAGGATTGTATAAGAGTTTTTTATATTTAAAATATTTCTATATGACTTGTATAAGAGTTTTGTATGATGTATAAGAGTTTTCTACGACTTATTTATGTGATATAAGAGTTTTTGTGTACCGTATAAGACGTTTCTAAAGACATTTTAGGTGTTATAAGGATTTTTATGACAGTATAAGAGTTTTTATATACAGTATAAGAATTTTTCTATATCCTATTAGATATTTGTATGAATCTTATATGTCGTATACGAAATTTCTATGCATTATAAAACTTTTTTAGAGTCTTATATGCAATATAAGAGTTTTTCTCTACCCTATCAGACTTTTCTATGAGTCTTATATGCGCTATGTATTATAAGACTTTTTTAAGAGTCTTATATGCGAGTTTTTTATAATATAAGAGTTTTTCTGTGTCATATTAGACATTTCTATGAATCTTATATGCGCTATAAGAAGTTTCTTTGTATTATAAGACTTTGCTAAGAGTCGTATAAGACTTTTTTAAGAGTCGTATAAGACTTTTTTAAAAGTCTTATATGCAATATAAGAGTTTTAGTGTACCATATTCCACTTTTCTACGAGTCTTGTATGCATTGTATGAGCCTTATATATCGTATAAGATGTTTCTATGACTTATACAACTTTTTCTATGAATTTTACATGCGATATAAGAGTTTTGAATGCATTATACATCCTTTATAATAGTCTTATATTCAATTATACGATCAATATAAGAGTTTTTACAAATATATAAGAACTTTATATGTTGTATAAGAGTTTTTGGGAGATATATTACACATTTCTATCTAACTTATAGCCGTTATACGAAAGTTCTATGTATTATAAAACTTTTCTAAGAGCCTTATATGCCGTATAAGAGTTTTATATGCAAAATACAACTATAAAATAGTCTTATTACCAATATTTATTTATTTATTTAATTCATTCCATAATACTAAAGCCTTCAAGGCCAATAAATAGTAATATTAGGATCAAAATAACTATTTTACAAATGGATAAGAGTTTTTACAAATGTGTAGGATACTTATACGGATTTTACATTGCTTATAAGACTCTTATACAGTTCTTAGGTTAACCTAACCTAACAGTTCTTACAGTTCTTAGCGGCAATATAAGACCCCAATACACGTCGTATATTGTTTACAAGACTCTTATATTTATTTTTATGCTATTTTAGACTCTTATACAATTTTATCACATATATAAGACTCTTCTACGAAGTCTCCTATTGCATGTAAGACTTTTATACGGCTCTTATCAGCAATATCAGACCCTCATACACATCTCATATTGTATATAAGACTCTTATATTTGTTTTATAGGATATTTTCAACTCTTATACGACTTTATCGTCTATATATAAAAAAATTCTACGGGTCTTTTATTGTGTATAAGAATCATTTATTAGTCGTGTGTGCTATTTTCAACACTAATGTGATTTTTTATGCTACAAAAACTCGTATACGGGTCCTATATTGTATATAGGACTCTTATACGCGTCCAATATTGTATATAGGATTTTTATACGAGTCTTGTATTATATAAAGGACACTTATACGTGTCTTACACTGCATATAAGACTCTTATACGGCTCTTTGTATTTTTGTAAACTCTAATACGGATGTTATATTGTATATATAACTCTTATACGAGTCTCATATTGCATATAAAACTCTTATACAGGTCTTTCTATTTAAAGTTCTTCTATTGGTCTTATATGCAATTATACACTCTTATACGACTCATAATATGACTCTTCTACGACTCTTATATTAAATATATGACTTCTGTAGGTATCCTATATTGTATATAGAATTCTTATAGGGGTCCTATATTTTATATAGGACTATTATACGCGTCCTATATTGTATACAGGACTCTTATAGGGGTCCTATATTGTATATAAGACAGTTATATGGATCCTATATTGTAACTACGTCTCTTATAGGGGTCCTATATTGTATATAGAACTCTTATACGAGTCTCATATTGCATATAAAACCCTTATACTGGTCTTAGTATCTATTTAAGACCTTTATATTTGTCTTATATTCTCTTTGAAGCTCTTCTATTTGTCATATATGCCATTATACACTCTTATACGATTTTTTACATAATATAAGACTCTTCTATGACTCTTATATTTAATATATGACTCTTATGGGGATCCTATATTGTATATAAAACTCTTATACAGGTCTTATACTTTGTATTAGTCCATAATATGAGCCTTTTATTTCCTAAAAAACTCTTATATTCTCTTATTTTATATTATTTATGTAATTGTATGGAGTATTATTATGCCCCAACATGCAAACTTGCCTTCCATTGCACCATCTTCATGCCATCATTCCCTTTAATGCTATCCTGATTAGCCAGCGAGCATTTTTTTAATAAAAAACATTTATTTTTATAAAATTTGTAAATACCAAGAAAGACTTCAATTTTTTCCAACATATAAAAATCTCCTTTAATGCAGCTACATAGATATTAGAATATTTTATTAAAATGCCATAGAAAAGAATATTTCCAAAAACGAAAAAAATCATCCTTCTCGCTCTCTCCCTCAAAACCAAGTCTTCTAATTTCCGTATAAGACTATATATATTTTTTCCATAAATCTAAAAAAAATATTTTTGAAAAAATTAGCTATCAAAAAAATAATTGAAATCGTGGTCTTCTAATGAATACAAAAATCAAATATATCTGCCACACTTTTTTTATATGCACACACCCATACTTACACACACACACACCTATTCTTAATTGTAGACAAAATAATACCCAACAAAAAAATGAGGTATACTTTTAGGAGTAAAAAAGAAATATCACAATTTAATCAGAGAAAAATATTTTTTTTTTTTTTTACATTAAAAAAATTATTAGCTTTGCAAAGATATTATGTAGATTATACACACACAAACACATACATATATACTCACTTAAACATAAATGCATACACACATACATATTAATGAAAAGAAGAAGAAAAATGATGAAGAATACAGAATACGATATAAAAGAGATATAATCAATCAAATATTTATTTGATTATGAAAACAACAATTAAAATTATAAAAAAAATAATTTATAAAAAATTAAATGATAAAAATTTAAATTATAAAAGAATTTAATTATGAAAAAAAATATTTAAAAAAAAAAATATATATATATATATATGAAAAACAAACTATATTAAGATTATGAAAACAAAACTACCCTGAAATTATTAGAAATGAATCTTATCTTTTTTTGATAAATAAGAATTTTTAAATGAACAAAAAAAAATATAATGCAACAACAACAAACCTAAATTAACTAAATTATTTAATAAATTAAAAAAAGGAGCAAACAAAAAAAATTATTTATATTCCAAAAATCATCTTAACAACAAAATATTGGCAGAAGTGTTTTATTTGTAATGGATTTTTTTTTAAATATTTTTTTCAAGGGGCGAATTTAAAAACAAAAATGTTCAAAACATAAACCTACGGCGTGGATTTTTTAAACATAATTTTTTCAAAGCCCTACCATACGGGTAGATTTTTAAAAATTATTTTTTCAGGTACTACCAAGACTGAATCAATCTCTTACTCTCTCTCTCTCTCTCTCTCTCTCAACCCATATCTTGCTATAGTTTCTTTTATGACACCTCAAGTAGCCAGCGAACCATAAATCTAGATTTTTGTTTTTTTTTTTCAAATCCATAAAAAAATCGTATATATTTTTTCTACTACAGTAGCAACAACAATAACAAATTCTGATTACAGATTATCACCCCTTTTCGAAAAGTAAGGTTGTGGGAATTCGTAATCTATTTTTTTTTTGTTATTTTATTTTTCCAGATATTGAACCGCAATTTGTATTCCGATTCCGCTAAACAGCAAATCAACGCCAAAAACTGAATGCCATAGCTTTAGATAACGAACGACAGAACGGTTCATGTGCAAAATCAAATCAAACAAATTTGAAAAAAAAAATAAATAAAATCGTATCGAAGAGGAGAGAATGAAAGAAATCTTATCTGTATTGGGTGGTGATATTGAATGTGGTTCCAAAACAAAATAAATTTTTGCCTGGTATTGGAAATTCAGTCAGTCAGAGTAACAAAAAAAGGCCAACAAGAATTATTATCAGATTTTTGGGGAGGGGAGGGGTGGTGGATAGCACCACCATGTAAGGTATAAATGCCATGATTACAAATGGTTAGGTATTCCATTTGTCAAAAAAATTGTACCAATTTTTTTAGTGCAATTTCGTTTCACAATTGTCACAATTTTTGTTCATTAGAAAAAAATTGTTTAATTTTTTCATAAAAAAATTTTCAAATTGTATTTTTTTTCATTTCAAAAAAATTGTCACAAATTTTATTCTTTAGAAAAAATGTCCCAAAATTGTGTTTTCATTAAGATTTTTTAATTGTCCCAATTTTTTTATTTTCAACAAATTGTCCCAATTTTTTCTTTTCGGAAAAAAAAATTGTCCCAATTTATTTTTTCAGGAACAATTGTCCCAAAATGGCTTTTCTTTAGAAAAAAATTGTCCCAAATTATATTTCTTTAAATTGTCCCATTTTTTATTCTTTTCAGATAAAAATTGTCCCATTTTTTTATTCAGAAAAAAATTATCCCATTTTTCAGAAAAAAAATTATCCCAATTTTTTTTTTAGATAAAAATTGTCCCAAAATGCTTTTTATTTAGAAAAAATTTGTTCAAAATTATATTTCTTTCAATTTAATTTGTCCCAATTTTGTTCTTTTCAAAAAAAAATTGTCCCATTTTTTCCTTTAAAAAAATTGTCCCAATTTTTTCTTTTCAAAAAATTTGTCCAATTTTTTCATTTCAAAAATTGTCCCTAAATGTTTAGAAGAAAAAAATTGTCCCAAATTTTTTTCTTTAGAAAAAAATTGTCCCAAATTATATTTCTTTAAAAAAATTGTACATTTTTTTCCTTTAAAAAAAATGGTTCAAAAATGTTTTTCTTCAAATAAAAATATCCGACAATGGGTTCGTCAGAAAAAATTTGTCCCAAAATTTCTTTTCAAAAATTTGTCCCAATTTTTTTTATTTGTCCAAAATTTGTTTTCTTTAATAAATGTTTTCTAAAAAAATTGTTCCAAAAAATCCCATTTTTTCATTAAATTTGCTTTAAAAAATTGTCCCAATTTTTTCCAAAAATTTTGCTCATTTTTTTTTTAATTGTCCAAAATTTGTTTTCTATAATAAATGTTTTCTAAAAAAAATTGTTCAAAAAAATCCCAATTTTTTTCATTAATACCTTTTTTTTCAAAAAAATTGTCCCAAATTTTATTTCTTTAAAGAAATTGTCAATTTTTTTCCTTGAAAAAAAAATGGTTCAAAAATGTTTTTCTTCAAATAAAAATGTCCGAAAATGGGTTCGTCAGAAAAAAATTTGTCCCAAAATTTCTTTTCAAAAATTTGTCTCAAAATTTTTTTTTTTCAAAAAATTTGCCCATTTTTTTTATTGTCCAAAATTTGCTTTCTTTAGAAAGATTTTCAAAAAAATTTGCTCCAAAAAATCCCAATTCATTAAATTTGGCTTTCAAAAAATTGTCCCAATTTTTATTCCAAAAATATTGCTCATTTTTTTAATTGTCCAAAATTTTTTTTTAATAAATATTTTTTTTAAAAAACAAAATGTTCCAAAAAAATCCAATTTTTTTCATTAAATTTGCTTTTAAAAAATTGTCCCAATTTTTTTTCCAAAAATTTTGCTCATTTTTTTTAATTGTCCAAATTTGTTTTCTATAATAAATGTTTTCTAAAAAAAGTTGTTCAAAAAAATCCCAATTTTTTTTTCATTAATACCTTTTTTTCAAAAAAATTGTCCCAAATTTTTTTTCCAAAAAAAATTGTCAATTTTTTTTAATTGTCCAAAATTAGTTCTCTTTAGAAATGTTTTCTAAAAAAATGTTCCAAAAAATCCCAATTTTTTCATTAAAATTTGTTTTAAAAAAAATTGTCCCAATTTTTTTTTAATGTTGCCCATTTTTTTCAATTGTCCATTTTTTTTTCTTTAAAAAGTTTTGTTTTCTACAAAAAATTGTTCCAACTTTTTTCCAAAAAAATCCCAAATTTTTTTTTCAAAAAAATTGTCCCAATTTTTTTTCTAAAAAATGTTTCAATATTTTTCCAATATTAAAAAAAATTTTCATTAATAAATTTTATTTATGTTATGTCCAAAATTTTTTCCAAAAAATTTGTCCCAAATTTTTTTTTTCCAAAAAATTGGAACCAAAATTTGTTTTCCAAAAAATTTGTCCTAAATTTTTTTCCAAAAAATTTGTCCTAATTTTTTTTTTTCAAAAAATGTGTCCCAACATTTTTTTCCAAAAAATTTGTCATAAATTTGTTTATGGGGAAAAAATTGTCCCAATTTTTGTATTTAATATTTTTTTTTCTCCCAAGAAAAAATTCCATTCCGACAACCCTAATCTCAAAACTTCTTTGGGGCTGATCGATGGTAAATGTGTGACGCGAAGATAATACGTCCGACGACTACGATGATGATGATGATGGACGTTCCGATTATTTTTTGCAGACTAAGGTCCCGTTCGGCATTGGTCAACGGTAGTCACGTACTGACGTTGCGAGTAATTAAAACGGTAACGGTGAAAGTTGAGCGGATAAATAAAAACGAAGCGATCGGAACTACCCGAAAAAAAAACTTGAAGGAATTATGCCGGAATATATTATGATATCTGTGGGAGTGGTGGTGGCCTCTGTGGTGGCCCTAATCCTATTAATACTGCTCCTCTTGAAGCAAAAATCGAAAATGATATTCGGAATTTACCCCCGCAAGGGTCTCTTCTATCATTTGAAATATGTCATTGCCTTGATGGTGCTCCGGCGTATGCGTTATAAATTCTATCATCGGAATTCGAAGGATATGCGAGAGGAGGATTATATGGAAAGTTTGGATAGGCCCCAAGAGCTGTCGGAACATCCCAAGTCCTATGATGTGGTCTCATTTATGGCTGCCAATATTAAGGGAGAGAAATTTATGGTGACCCTAGAGAGAAGGAGGAGGGGTATTATTCGAGCTTGCATTTATCTCTGGTTGCCGGATTATGGTCTGTTGGCCTCACCGAAGTTGCCGGATATGTTGTATTTCACCACAAATGGTGATGAGGAGAACAATGAGTTCAAGGGGAATGGTTTCCATATTTACCCCAAGGAACCGATGAAATCCTGGGTTATCATGTATGAGGGTCCGGTGCAACAGGTGGCCGAGAACAAGCAGCTGAATGTGAAATTAAATTTGGAATTCACTTCGACCTCCAAACATTTCGATTATAATCGTGATCTGAGTGCCTCGGTGATTGCGGATTCCATTGCCCGTGAGTCATGGAATGAGGCCTTCTATATTATGTGTGTTAATGTGGATAAGATTTTGGAAAAGCGTACCCATTATGAACAGAATGGTGCGATACAGGGTGATCTCCTGATTGAGGGTGTGGGAACGAAGATCCTGAAATTGAATGGCTTCCGGGATCATAGTTTCGGAACCGATCGTTGCCTTTCCACCATCAATCGTTATGTCTACTTTTCGCTCTTCCTGGAGGATGGCACCAGTATGGTGGTCGGCAACCTCTCGCAACCCTCTTTCTTCTTGTCCTCTCTCAAGGTGGGCTATATCTGCAACAAGGAAGGCGTCTATGAACCGATTACAAAATGCAATTTCGAGCTGTATACCTATGGCCAAAAAGGTGTTCCGCCAAATAATCAAAATTTCATTGTCCACACGCGGGATAATAGTTATTTTGTTCAGATCCAGGTGGAAGATTGTGCTGTCCGCTATATGGGTGGCAATTGGGAATCGAAGGTGTATAATCAATTTTTCCGTTGCACTGTGAATGGGGTGCAGGGTCATGGTATTACGGAATATTTGTATCGTCATAATGATGGGCGACCGGAGGAGGTGTGCGTCCAGGATCCGGAATGGTATCAACGCATTAGGAAATTTGAAAGGACTTTGAGTAGCTGTGAGCGAGAGGATGATAGTGAAATGTTCTTTTTTTGAAAGGGAGGAAAGGTGAGAGGGGAGGAGAGGATGGAAGGAATTCTGAATAATATTTTATGCTTAAAAAATTTTATGGCCAACAGGGATTTTATGGCGTCCTTACACCCTGTTTACACAGGCTTCTTTAAGAGGCCTTGAAACATAGAATTCCCCGATGCCCGGATTACATCTTTTGTTCAAGCAAAAGTTAATTGTATATTCGGAGTATTTTTGTTTATAAATCTTATACACTGTTTACACAAGGCCTTTAAACAATTAATAATTGCAATTCAAGTGTAGCGCAAAAGAAAACAAATCAAAACAATGAAAAGAAATAAACAAATGTCAAAGCGGGCAATCACTGTGCAATGATAACAAAGTGCCCCTGTTGGAAACGGAACTAATATTAAAGTATCTATTTAAATAGTAACAAAATGAACTGATTTAATAAAAAATAATAAAAAAATAATTTATTGGTATGGTAGGGGAGGATCCTCACTTAGTTGTAAATATTTTATTTAAAAAAATATTAAGTTATTTATTATTAATATTTAATTAAAAAAATATTATATTTTATAAAAAAATATTATAATTTATAAAAAAAAATATTATATAGTTAGATGAAAAATAATAAAAAAAAATAATTAAAAAAAATAAAAATTCAATTGGGACAATTTTTTTTTTTGAAAAAATATTTAAAAAAAAAATAAAAATATTTTTAAAAAAATAAATTGAAAAATATTAATTAGTTAGATGAAAAATTATAAAAAATAATTAAAAAAAATAAAAATTCAAATGGGACGATTTTTTTTTTTTTTTTTTTTTTTTTTTTTTTGAAAAAAAATATTTTTTAAAATTTGACTTTTTTTATAGAAAAAAAATATTTTTTAAATTGGATTTTTCAATAAAAAAAAAATTACACCTATTTTGGGTGGAATTTTGTGTCCTAAATTGGTATCCCAATAAGACAAATTATTAAAAAATATTTTTTTTTTTAATTTGGGACAAATTTTTTTGAAGTAAAAAATTGGGACACATAATTTGGGACAAAAAAAAATTGTCCCAAAAAATTTTTTAAAATTTAATTTAGCTATAAAAACTAGGTGGTATTTAGGTGGTATCCCAATAAGACAAATTATTGTAAAATATTTTTTTTCAAAAAAATTGTCCCAATTTTTTTTTTAATATTTAATTTAGCTATAAAAACTATTGAGACAGAAAAAAATTGAATTGGGACAATTTTTACTTTGGGACAATAAATTAAATGGGTTCTATAGACAAATTATTGAAAATTATTTTTTTTGCAATTTGGGACAATTTTTTTATGTAACGAAAAAATTGGGACATATAATTTGGGACAAAAAAATATTCCCAAAAAAATCGTAAATTTAATTTAGATAACTAAAAAATAATGTTACAGAAAAAAATTTTGAATTGGGACAATTTTTTCAATTTTGGGACAATAAATAAAATGAGTTCTTGAGATTTAGGTGGTATCCCAATAAGACAAATTATTGAAAAATATTTTTTTTTCAATTTGGGACAATTTTTTTTAAAGAAAAAATTGGGACACATAATTTGGGACAAAAAAAATGTCTCAAAAAATTAATATATAATTTAGTTAAAAAAACTATTGTGACAGAAAAAAATTTTGAATTGGGACAATTTTTTCAATTTTGGGACAATACATGAATGAAATGGAATCTTTAGGTCCCATTTTATTTTTTTGAATTGGAACAATTTTTTTCGATTTGGGGCAATAAATAAAATGGGTTCTTTAGGTTTAGGTGGTATCCCAATAAGACAAATTATTAAAAAAAAAAATTTTTTTTTGCAATTTGGGACAATTTTTTTGTATCGAAAAAAATTGGGACACATAATTTGGGACAAAAAAATGTGTCCCAAAAAAATCGTAATATTTAATTTAGTTAAAAAAACTATTCTGACAAATTTTTTTTTTTTGAATTGGGACAATTTTTCAATTTGGGACAAAAAAATAAAATGGGTTCTTTAGGTTTAGGTGGTATCCCAATAAGACAAATTATTGGAAAATATTTTTTTGCAATTTGGGACAAATTTTTTTAAGAAAAAAATTGGGACACATAATTTGGGTCAAAAAAAATTGTTCCAAAAAAATCGTAATATTTAATTTAGTTAAAAAAACTTTTGTGACAGAAAAAATTTTTGAATTGGGACAATTTTTTTCAATTTTGGGACAATAAATAAAATGGGTTCTCTAGGTCCCATTTTATTTTTTTTGAATTGGGACAAAAAAAAATAAAATGGTTTCTTTAAGTTTAAGTAGGTGGTATCCCAATAAGACAAATTATTGGAAAATATTTTTTTTTGCAATTTGGGACCATTTTTTTTTTGTAACCAAAAAATTGGGACACATAATTTTGAAAAAAAAAATTGTCCCAAAAAATTGTTAATATTTAATTTAGCTATAAAAACTTTTGTGACAGAAAAAATTTTTGAATTGGGACAATTTTTTTCAATTTGGGATAATTTTTTTGTAACAAAAAAATTGGGACACATAATTTGGGACAAAAAAAATTGTCCCAAAAAAAATCGTAATATTTAATTTAGTTAAAAAAACTATTCTGACAAAATTTTTTTTTTGAATTGGGACAATTTTTTCAATTTGGGACAAAAAAATAAAATGGGTTCTTTTGGTTTATGTGGTATCTCAATAAGACAAATTATTGGGAAATATTTTTTTTTGCAATTTGGGACAAATTTTTTTAAAAGAAAAAAATTGGGACACATAATTTGGGACAAAAAAATTTGTCCCAAAAAAAATTTTATATTTAATTTAGCTATAAAAACTATTGAGGCAGAAAAAATTTTTGTGACAATTTTTTTTTTTTGAATGAAATGGGACAGGTCCAATTTTTTTTTGTAAATTGGAAAAAATTGGGAACAAATAAAAAGGTTTGGGACAATAAGACAAATTATTAAAAAAAAAATTTTTTTTTGCAACATTTAATTTTTTTGTATCGAAAAAAAACACATAATTTGGGAAAAAAAAATGTGTCCCAAAAAATTCGTAATATTTAATTTATCAATTTGGGACAATAAATGAAATGCGACCTTTAGGAGCCATTTTATTTATTTTTTTTAATTGGGACATTTTTTTCAATTTGGGACAAGAAATAAAATGGGTTCTTTAGGTTTATCCCAATAAGACAAATTATTGGAAAATATTTTTTTGCAATTTGGGACAAATTTTTTAAAGAAAAAAATTGGGACACATAATTTGGGACAAAAAAATTTGTCCCAAAAAAATTTTATAATTAATTAATTAAAAAAACTATTGTGACAGAAAAAAATTTTTTTTTTCAATATTGAGCCAATAAATAAAATGGGTTCTCTAGGTCCCATTTTATTTTTTGCTGATATGCCCAAGGCCAACAAAAAAATATTTGCCAAAAATTATAAATTGTTGAAAAAGATCCGTTCAGACATTGACTAGACAGTTCAAAGTTTCGATTAAATACCCAAGCACAAAAAAAAAAATAATTATCTGTTCTACAAATATTAAATACTCATTCCGAATAAAATATTGATATCAATATCAGAAATTAATGCATTATTCGGCAACACGTAAATAAAATAATCAACAAAAAATAAAAATAATCAACAGAAAAAAATTATCAAAAAAAAAAACAAGAAGAAGAACAACAAAAATAAAAATCAAATTAAATGAAAAAATAAACAACTCAACACCCTGGGGGGCCAAGAGAAAGGGAGGCAGAGATAACCACACTACGGAATGTTTGAATTTTGATTTATGTTGAACGGTGATAGGTGAAAATCAGTACTTGAAAAAATATATTTTTAAAAAATCCAGTCCTTTGTTTGACCCCTGAAAAAATATGTTTAAAATATTCATGCATTAGGGTAGGCTTTAAAAACATAGCCGCCTAAGGATATGCTATGAAATTATTTTGTACAAAATCCGTAGAAAATGTTGTAAAAAATCCACACCTTAGATTACTTAGCTGACTTGTGACAGAAGCCGAACTTAAAAAAGATTTCCAGGCTCGTCGGTCTTTTGCTCAGTTTTTCCCAATTTGAAAGACCCTATTCGGCAATGTTGTCCTCCACTTGATCTTTCCATCTTATTCGTGACCTTGCCCTTCGGCGTGAACCATCAGCTGGTTCGCTTATATATGCCTTGTGGGCTGGGACATCTTCATCCATTCTCCTGACCTAGCCAACGTAGTCGCTGCAGCTCAATACGTTTAACAATGCCGATGTCCGAAAATAGCTGGTACAACTCATGGTTCATTTGCGGGCGATATTCAACGTCAACGCAGTGCTCGGCCCATAGATCTTTTGGGAGATTTTTCTCTAAAACACTCCAAGAGCAGCCTCATCTGCTTGCGACACTACCCATGCTTCAGATCCATATATACTAGCACGGGTAGTATCAGCGTCTGGTAGAGTGTGAGTTTCAGGAAGGCTGCGACCTGTATCGGTTGTGTCCAAAGAGAAGATGGGGTTAGGTGAGTGGGTTTGGCTGGGCAGTTGAATAGCTGTAGCGTGTCATGTGGTCCGTTACCACATGCCGGGCAGATATTGTCGACCTCCCCATCAATTCGAACCCAATATGAATTGAGGCGGCTACACCATCCAGATCTTAATTGTGCCAAGACCACTCTGATTTGTCGGTGTAGCTGTTGCTCTTCTGCAGCTACCATAGGCGGATGATCTCCGAGGATGGTATTCACACGATATTCTTGAATTGTTTCCTCAACTGCATCCGTGTGAATACGATTCAATCCTAGAGGCTCCCTTTTGTATCTTTGGACCCATTATATCGATGTCATCGGCGTAGGCGAGTAACTGGTGTTGTTTGATGTACAGAGTGTCATTCACCTGTTCACCTTTGCCTCTCGTATGACCTCTTCCAGCAGGATGTTAAAAAGGTCACACGACAAACTGTCACCTTGTCTCCGATTCCAAGTTCGGTGTTAAAGGGCTCCGAGAGGTCCTTTCCGACTTTAACTGCTGTTCTTGTGCCTTGTTAAAGTTATCCTGCATAGCCGTATTAATTTTGCGGGAATCCCGAACGTAGACATGACTTTAAACACCTCTGAACGGATAGGGCTGCTGTCGAATGCGGCTTAATAGTCGACGAATAGGTGGAAGGTGTCGATGTGTTTTTCGTGGGGGTTTTTCCAGGATTTGGCGCAGAGTGAAAATCTGGTCAATGGTGGATGCGATTGGGAAGGAGATTTATTCCCCTATAGTTGGCACATATCGTCTTGTCTCTTTTTTGTGCACGGGACACAGGATGCTGAGGTGTCTGAATCCTCGTTCGGCATTAAAGGGCTCCCAGAGGTCCTTTCCGACTTTAACTGCTGACCTTGTGCCACTTATAGTTATCCTGCATAGCCGTATTAATTTTGCAGGAATGCCAAACGCAGACATGGCTTTAAGCACCTCTGAACGGATAGGGCTATCGAATGCGGGTTTATAGTCGTCGAAAAGGTGGAATGTGTCGATGTGTTTTTCGAGTTTTTTTCAGGATTTGGCGCAGAGTGAAAATCTGGTCAATGGTGGATTTGCCAGGTCTGAAGCCGCATTGGTATGGTCCAATGATGTCATTGGCTTCCGTCGTTCACACAGTACGCTGGATAGCATTTTATATGCGATGGGTTGGCACATATCCTCTTGTCTCCTTTTTCTGTGCACGGGACACAGGATGCTGAGGTTTCAATCATTGGGCATGCCAAATTGTACTAATCAGCTGGTGCCTGCTCCTGACCAGCAAGCATCTGACCACCAGTCTTGAATAGTTCGGCTGGTAAACCATCGGCACCTGCTGCTGTTTTATTATTCTTCAGCCGATTGATTGCTATTCTGACCTCATCTTGGCTAGGTGGAATACACTCTATACCATCATCTCTGATGGGTTTTGGGGTATCCTCTTCACCGCTACTATTGCAGATACCAGAAGTTTTTTCAAAATGCTCCTTCCAGATCCTCAGCAAGCTGTCTGTATCTGTCACCAGGTTCGCTTCTTCATCTCTACTGGAGGATGTGCCTGCACCAAAGCCTTTGGTTTGGTGTTTTACCCGTTGGTAGAATTTTCGGACTTCAGTCTGACTCCGGTACAGCTCGATTTGCTCACGCTCACGTTTTTCTTGTTCTTTCTTCTCTTTTCTGAAAATACGTTTCTCCTCTCTCCTTTTCTCCCGATAATTCTCCATCACATTTAGTGTTGCTACTGTCCGCAGGGTTTCCCTATGCGCATATTAGCTCACTATTCAAATGGTGATGAAAATAGCTATCCCAGGTGGCACCACGGGGCGGGGTCAGATGAAAGTGGGACCAAGATAAGCCTGGACTTCGCCATGTTAAAGCCAATCAGAACCGTTGCTTGGTATCTATCATCGGCTACGTCATCCACGCCTTACGTAAAGGTCTAGAAAAAAATATTTGTAAAAAATCCACCCTCCGATTAACCCTTTTAGAAATGAAAGTCCCATTTGTTTAACTACACTCTACGATTTTTTTTATTGTCATTCTCACTTAAAGTGAATTAGAAGCCAACTTAGAATACCTAAATTTAAATCCGATTACTACACGAAGAAGAAGAAACACCTGCGGAACCACCATCGCCATTTCCCACCTCCTTTTTACGTTTCTTCTCCTCCTTGCCTAGCAGCTCCTCCTGAGATTTTCTCTTGGCATTTTTTACAATTTTATTCGAACTGCGGCCATTGACGAGAGGCAACGGCTGACTGCGTCCATTCGAAGCATCAGGAACATCCGATAATTCGGTTTTAATAAAATGCGATACCAACGAAGGCATTGGGGCTATCATCAATAGATTATTATTGCCAACCGGCGGAGGAGGAGGATGACCTGCCACACCATTTAGATAGTTATTAAGGGACCTCTTCATCCCGCCATTGATATGTAGCTGGTCATTTAGTAGCGGCATCCCTGCAGCGGGACGATTATTATTATTCGGTTCATTTTCTTCCTGCTGACATTTGTCATCCTGCTCCTTTTGCCATTCGAGGACCCGTGTTAAGAGTTTGATATATTTAATGGCCGATCGCAGAATCTCATTTTTCGATAGCTTCTTGTCGGGCGGATGTGTGGGTACCAGCTTCCTTAGCTCAGCAAAGGCACTGGACACATTTTGTTGCCGCCAACGTTCTCGGGTATTGGTGAAGACTTTGCGAACCAAAGGAAATCCGTTTTTGTCAAAGACCTCTGGGGTAGTTGGCATCAGGTTGTTCGTTGAGGATAGGGGAGGTGGCGAACCACCACTAGATAAGGGTATACAAGTCCTGGGTGAGATATTGGGAGTCCTCACAATGGAAGAGGAACCTAAAAGGGGAAGAAGGAAAAAATGTACCTTGAAAAAATATTTTTAAAAAATCCACGCCTTAGGGTAGGCCTTGAAAAACTATTTTTAAAAAATCCACGCCTTAGGGTAGGCCTTGAAAAACTATTTTTAAAAAATCCACGCCTAACGTTAAGCATTGAAAAAATATTTTTAAAAAATCCACGCCTTAGGGTAGGCCTTGAAAACTATTTTTAAATAATCCACGCCTAAGGTTAGGCCTTGAAAAACTATTTTTAAAAAATCCGCGCCTAAGGTTAGGCCTTGAAAACTATTTTTAAATAATCCACGCCTAAGGTTAGGCCTTGAAAACTATTTTTAAAAAATCCACGCCTAAGGTTAGGCCTTGAAAAACTATTTTTAAAAAGTCCTCGCCCAAGGTTAGCCTTCTTACCTTCACTTGCCGCCCCATTGAGCAGTACACAATTACGAAATTCCTCCTCATCCTCTTCAGTATCATTTAGGGAAAAATCCGATAGTTCTCCATCCGATAAATTTTCCATTTTCGGATTCAATTGGCCCTGGTTATTTATCAGGGCCGGAGGTTTGCCACATCCCGAATGGCCTGATGTTGTAATCGAAGTTTCTTGTACCGTTGCTTCCATTTTCGGATTTTCCAATTCCTGTGGAACTTTATTGGATCTCTCATCCGATTCGGACCAGGCCATAGTTAAAAAAATTTTTTAATTTTTTATTTGATGTTTTCCAATTTGAAAATTTTTTCTTCCTTCCGTCAGAGCTCTTTGCTGGTCTGCTATCTAATTGGAAATGTCCTTATATCCTTTAGTGTTCATGCTATTTGTACACGATTTTTTTCAATTTACACATACTTGACACACACACACACTCACACCCATAATTTGTAGTATTGTATAGCCCACCCTCCTTATGCATCCATCTCATACAAGGAGGCGGTGCTTAACTGCCATTTAAAAGCGAAAAACAACAATTACAATACAAACAAGAACGAGTGTTCGGATGCTGATAAGAAACAACCCTTAGTGCGGAATAGTCGCAGAGGTTTACTAGTGTGTGTAGTTATTTAAGTTTAGAAGAAAAAAAATCGGAATTGATTGACTCATGAAAAAATATATTTTTAAAAAATCCACGTCTAAAAACATAGACAAAATTTGCATATTTTTTGTTTTGTCCAATATCTCAAGAATTTTAGATGGTACATGTACACACCCAATAGAAATTCTATAGAACAAATATTCCTCTAGCAAAAAAAGTTTATTTGATCAAAATCTACCAACTAATTCGGAAGTTATGGCCTCTGGAACATGATCAAGCAAAAAATTCACATAATAGGCAAATTTGGGTATACTTATATTTTTCCGCTATCTTTAGGAAAATTTAGGAACAATATGAATATCCCTAATAGCAATTATTTAGACAATATATTACTCTAGCAATACGAATTTATTTCGCCAAAATCTACGAAGTAGTTTAGAAGTTATGGCCTCTGGAACATGATTATGCAAAAATGGTCATAATAGGAAAATTTGGTTATGTTTATATTTTTTCCAATATCTTGGTAATCTGTAGGAGATACATGAATACCCCAAATGGCAACTATGTAGATAACACATTTCTCTATCACCAGGCATTTATTTCGCCGAAATCTATGAACTACTTTAAAAGTTATGGCCTCTGGAACATGATTACGCCAAAAATGTCCGTAGTAGGAATATTTTCATATTTTCTACAATATCTTGGTAATTTGTAGGACATACATGAATACCCCTAGTAGAAATTTTGTAGACAATATCTTACTCTTGCAAAATAAATTTGTTTCTCCAAAAACTAAGAACTACTTCAGAAGTTATGCCCTCATGGAACATTACGCAAAAAATGTCCATAATAGGAAAATTTGGGTATATTTACATTTTTTCCAATATCTTGGTAATTTCTAGGAGATACATGAATACCTCTAATAGGAACTATGTAGACCATCTATTTATCTATCAACAGAAATTTATTTCATCGAAATCTAAGAACTACTTTCGAAGTTATGGCCTCCGGAACATGCATACGTAAAAAATACCCATAATAGGAAAATTTGGGTATGTTGTTATTTTTGTCCAAATTTTGGGAATTTTTGGAGCTATGCGAATACCCCTAATAGTAATAATGTAGAAAATATATTCCTCAAGCAAGATAAATTTATTTCGTCAAAATCTACCAACTACTGCAGAAGTTATGGCTTCCGGAACATGCTTACGCAAAAAATTCCATAATAGGCAAATTTGGGTATACTTATATTTTTCCCGCTATCTTGGTAATTTTTGGAGCTATGTGAATACCCCTAATACTAATGATGTAGAGAATATATTCCTCTTGCAGAATAAATTTACTTCATCGAAATCTATGAACTACTTTAGAAGTTATGACCTCCAGAACATGACTACGCAAAAAATTCCCTTAGTAGGACAATTTGGGTATGTTTAATTTTTTCCCGATATCTTAGGTATTTTTTGGAGCTACATGAATACCCCTAATAGTAATAATGTAGAAAATATATTCCTCTATCAAAATAAATTTATTTCGCCAAAATCTACCAACTCTTTTAAAAGTTATGATCACTGGAACATTATTACGCAAAATATTGGCATAATAGAAAAATTTGGGTATATTTACATTTTTTTCCAATATCTTGATAATTTGTGGGAGAAACATGAATACCCCTAATAGCAACTATGTAGACCATATATTTATCTATCAACAGAAATTTATTTCACCAAAATCTAGCAACTACTTCAGAAGTTATGGCCTCTGGAATATGGTTACGCAAAAAATTGCCATAGTAGGAAAATTTGGGTATGTTAAATTTTTTCCGATATCTTGGGAATTTTTGGTGCTATGTGAAGACCCCTAATAGTAATTATGTAGATAACATATTTCTCAATCAAAATAAATTTATTTCAGCAAAATCTACCAACTACTTCGGAAGTTATGGCCTCCGGAACATGCATACGCAAAAAATGCCCATAATAGGTAAATAAGGGTATACTTATATTTGTTCCCCTATCTTGGTAATTTTTAGAGCTATGTGAATACCCCTAATAGTAATAATGTAGAAAATATATTCCTCTATCAACATAAATTTATTTCGTCAAAATATACCAACTACTGCAGAAGTTATGGCTTCCGGAATATGATTACCCAAAAAATGTCCATAATAGGAAAATTTGGGTATATTTAAATTTTTTCAAATATCTTGGTAATTTATAGGAGATACCTGAATACCCTTAATAGCAACTATGTAGACCACATATTTATCTATCAATAGAAGTTTATTTCGCCAAAATCTACCAACTACTTCAGAAGTTATGGCCTCTGGAACATGACTACGCAAAAATCCCTATAATAGAAAAAATTGGGTATGTTGTTATTTTTGCCGATATCTTGAGAATTTTTGGTACGATGTGAATACCCCTAATAGCAATTATGTAGATAACGTATTTCTCTATCAACAGAAATTTATTTCGTTAAAATCTATGAACTATTTTAGAAGTTATGACCTCCGGAACATGATTACGCAAAAAATCCCTATAATAGGAAAATTTGGGTATGTTGTTATTTTTGCCGATATCTTGGGAATTTTTGGAGCGATGTGAATACACCTAATAGCAATTATGTAGATAACGTATTTCTCTATCAACAGAAATTTATTTCGCCAAAATCTACGAACTAGTTTAGAAGTTATGACCTCCGGAACATGATTACGCAAAAAATCCCTATAATAGGAAAATTTGGGTATGTTGTTATTTTTGCCGATATCTTGGGAATTTTTGGAGCGATGTGAATACACCTAATAGCAATTGTGTAGATAACGTATTTCTCTATCAACAGAAATTTATTTCACCAAAATCTATGAACTACTTTAGAAGTTATGGTATCTGGAAGTTGATTACTCAAAAAAATCCTATGACATAAATTGAAGAAATATTTTTCCCACATTCCTTAAAACCCCCCCTTTGGCATCCCCAGCTCATCGCTTATTCATAACCTAAATACACGTGATCTCTCACGTGATTTCTTCTTCAGTGTCAACAAATAATCTGTCATAATCATATCTCTCTGTCCTTTGATTTGTTTTTAATCTCTAAATGATGTGAGAACCTGCTGCTCTTAGAGCTGCCATTTGACACCCTGCCGCTCTTGTGCCGGTGTTTTTATCTTTTAATTGATACCACTAATCCGATTAAGTGTCTCTCTACCAGTCAGAGGAAGGGTGGGGTGGCTTGGTGTTGACACCAAAATTGTATCAAAATCAAATTAGTTTGGCAAATCACACGAAAATATTTATCTTCGCCCCTGTCTTGGTGAGAAAACATAAAATAGGGGATGGAAATGTTTCCCCTTCCCCGGAATGTGAAAAAAGGAAATCAAGAAGTCATTTGTGGATTATTTTTGACTAAACTAATATCAACAAGATTGAATAAAAAAAATATTAGACACGTGTTGCACGTGTTTATCTCAAATCGGGAAAAAATCAAAAAGTGAGGTTAGGTTAGCCAATAAAAATCAAAAAATCAATTTTTATTAGAAACAAATTTCTAAAATTTTATTGACCTTTTTTTAAGGGACCTCCCACATTTATTTCCGATTAAAAAAATTAATTTTCCAGCCATTAATTATTTTATTGTGTTCCCTTACCCTTTTCCCCACGAAAAAAGAATCCCACACTTTTCCCCATATTTTTCTCTTTCGAAAAAAGGGAAAAACTTTCAGTTTTAATTACCATTTCCTTTTACTGCATGGTCATTCATGAAACATCCAATATTTTTCTCCTTTAACTTTTTAATCCATTTTCCCATGTTTTTGCAACGCCTTACGGCAAAGCGCCTTATTTGTTCTCGCATAACAAGACAAAGGACAAATGTATTATGGCAACCGCAGCATGTCAAGAAATCAGGGTAATAATCAGCACGCATCCCCTTTTGCAAAAAAAAAAAATGAAAAAATGAACAACGGGACAGCAGGAATCATTGAAATTCATTAATTGCAGAGATTAAGGGTCGAGTGAGTGTGAAAAATGTAACTTACAAAAGGGAGGTGAAGAGGGTGAGGAAAGGGTGCTAAGTGGGCGTGTAGCCAATAACAATATGACAAATGGGGGATGATTTGGCATTTATTGGGTGTAGCTAATTTTTTGTTCAGAAACAGGGTAACACACAGCATAGGAAAACACAAAGGGGAAAAATTGGAATCGAAGTGATGACAATTATTTAAGGGATGTGAAAATCCGTACACAACCCTTAAGCAAAGCCAAAAACCATTAAAAAATATTAGCATAAACATAAACCCCATGCCTCTAATTCTGGAATATGAAATATGAATATAACAAACACCTCCATTAATGAAGTCTGGATGGCGCTCTGCAAAACTACAATAATAGGAACATTTGGGTATCTTCTTTATTTTGTACAATATAGCAGGAATTATAGATGCTACATCCGCACACCCAATAACAATTTTGTAGACAAAATATTGCTCTAGCAATATAAATTTATTTCACGAAAATCTACGAACTACTACCAAAGTTATGGTCTCTGGAAGAAGATTACTCAAAAAATTCCATAATACGAAAATTTGGGTGTGCTTAATTTTTTTCGAATATCTTGGTTATTTTTTGGTGCTACATGAAAACATCGAATAACAA